GGGGGGGGGGGGATGAAAGGGGAGGGGGTAGGTACCAGATTATTATGTGCTCAGGATCAAATAGTTTTATTGATAATTCCTGCTAGTTCCTCTAATAACCGCCATTAATCTTGGTGGAAAGAATTAGATCTTGTGTATTATGTCTCCTAGTGCAAGAATAGGGAAAAGGGATCTATTATTATCAACATTATTATTATTATTATATTTAAAATTAACTAATATAGTTTTGTTCTTAATTTTATTATATAATTTTTGTATTTTTTGGTCTGCCAGTTTTTACAACGCAAATCATTAAATTTTCACTGTTAGCTAACTTTTATCATTATCATAGGTTCATCTGTACTTCTCCACTATCCCTGAGGATAAGATCCCATACGTGAACAGTGTCGGAGAGAAATATCGGATCAAACAACTTCTTCATCAGCTTCCTCCTCATGATAACATTTTTAAATGATCCCCTCTCTCTAATAGATCCGAGATCATTTTCAAAGCAATCTTAGCTCTAGATGGTGAAGCGTGAAGAATTCATCGCGTTCTTGCCTCCCCCTCCCCCCTCTCCTTCCTCCATCACCGATCTAAATTTATTTAGTTTTAAAAAGCGTTGCAAGACTTGGATGCAAATTCCTTTTAAAGTTCTATAATTTGTATCGATTAGAACTAGGGCGAAAAGATAAGGGGGAAGGAAAAAGCTTCCATTAGATCTAGAGCAAAAACCTTGAAGCCTCGAATTACCCGAGTTCAAAGCTGGAATTAGAGGGAAAATGATCTCGCAAAAAGATGGATGTTTTGGTTTAATTTGTCGCCTTCTCATCACTTTCAAAATTGAAATGGAACTTAAAAACACTTGAATCAGGAAAAGGATGAAAACGGATAAAAGAACGAGATATGAAAGATAAAAGATAAAAAGATAGATTAAAATGAAGCTAAAGAATTAACAGGGTGGAGCCAAAAGAATTTTACATCGTCTTAAACTGCTTTATCGGTTTACTGGTCCATTTGAGGTTTTATTAATCATTTATCGCTAGATTTTGGATGATCAATCCATAATTTATTGATGTTAGAGCGCAGAGAATATCTTTATTGCGTCGTAAAGATTTATTAAGATAAAAAACAATAAATATAGAAGAGAGAGAGAGAGCACCACAGATTACCCAGATAAAACAGAAAATCGTTTTCAGTTTTACAAGTTTTACTTTAGCATCTAACAGCAAATATACTTGAAAAGAATAAATGAGTCCAATTTAAGATTTAATGTCAGAATTTCATCTTTTGTTCTATCTAAGAAATCTGTGGCACTTTATATACCCATATACACCCTATATACACCCTATACGGACACTTTTATACAATATTTTAAAAAGAATAATCAAACTAATTTGGGTCTGACAATATGAAATATTGATGCTTAGATAAAGGTATGTTACAAATACCTCCAGCTTTAAAGATAGGAAGGGTTTAAGAAAAACCAAATGGACGATGGGGGGTGAGGGGGTATATAATTGGACGATATGTGGAGGGAGATCTAGGGGGGTGAGGGGGTATATAAATGGACCATATGTGGAGGTAGATCGAGGGGGGTGAGGGGGTATAAAAATGGACGATATGTGGAGGGAGATCGAGGGGGGTGAGGGGTATAAAAATGGACGATATATGGAGGGAGATCGAGGGGGGTGAGGGGTATAAAAATGGACGATATATGGAGGGAGATCGAGGGGGGTGAGGGGTATAAAAATGGACGATATATGGAGGGAGATCGAGGGGGGTGAGGGGTATAAAAATGGACGATATATGGAGGGAGATCGAGGGGGGTGAGGGGTATAAAAATGGACGATATATGGAGGGAGATCGAGGGGGGTGAGGGGTATAAAAATGGACGATATATGGAGGGAGATCGAGGGGGGTGAGGGGTATAAAAATGGACGATATATGGAGGGAGATCGAGGGGGGTGAGGGGTATAAAAATGGACGATATATGGAGGGAGATCGAGGGGGGTGAGGGGTATAAAAATGGACGATATATGGAGGGAGATCGAGGGGGGTGAGGGGTATAAAAATGGACGATATATGGAGGGAGATCGAGGGGNGGGGGGGGGGGGATGAAAGGGGAGGGGGTAGGTACCAGATTATTATGTGCTCAGGATCAAATAGTTTTATTGATAATTCCTGCTAGTTCCTCTAATAACCGCCATTAATCTTGGTGGAAAGAATTAGATCTTGTGTATTATGTCTCCTAGTGCAAGAATAGGGAAAAGGGATCTATTATTATCAACATTATTATTATTATTATATTTAAAATTAACTAATATAGTTTTGTTCTTAATTTTATTATATAATTTTTGTATTTTTTGGTCTGCCAGTTTTTACAACGCAAATCATTAAATTTTCACTGTTAGCTAACTTTTATCATTATCATAGGTTCATCTGTACTTCTCCACTATCCCTGAGGATAAGATCCCATACGTGAACAGTGTCGGAGAGAAATATCGGATCAAACAACTTCTTCATCAGCTTCCTCCTCATGATAATGAAGTTCGGTGAGTTCTAAATCTTATTCTTCTTAATCCTATACTGATATCCGTCCTACTTTATCCTATACTGATATTCATCCTACTTTATATCCATCCTACTTTATCCTATACTGATATTCATCCTACTTTATTCTATACTGATATTCATCCTACTTTATACTAAACTGATATCCATCCTACTTTATCCTATACTGATATTCATCCTACTTTATCCTATACTGATATTCATCCTACTTTATACTAAACTGATATCCATCCTACTTTATCCTATACTGATATTCATCCTACTTTATACTAAACTGATATCCATCCTACTTTATCCTATACTGATTTCCATCCTACTTTATCCTATACTGATATCCGTCCTACTTTATCCTATACTGATATCCATCCTACTTTATCCTATACTGATTTACGCCCAGTGTATACTTTATCTTGTAATGTTCTTTACCATAACCTTATTATATTCGTTCTGCCCTGGATATACAGTCTACAGCATATCGTAATCACTTCATCCTTTCACAGAAGGAATAAGTTTCGTTATTAAACTGTACCATCCTGCATTCTTATAATTATTAACATATTTTCACCCATCATAATCTTTTAAAATTTTATCTAAATTATTCTTAAGTTTCTCTTTCATCCCTTTCATAAAATTCTTTTGATGCAGGTTTAGATAAAAAATTTGTTTCCCCCCCCCCGTCTCATCCCCACCATCCTTTATTCTTCAACGATAATTAATCATTTAATAGATATTTAGTCTCTTAGTTTCTCCCCCCCCCCCCTCCTAAAAAAAATACTCCAAGGTGAGAAGTAAAAGTACATTTATAAACTCTGAAAAATCTCTACATTTAGTAGTCTGACATCCTGTCTCCTCATACGTCAAAATCCTGTATAAAACTACTTTTTGTGGGAAGATATTTTAAAAATAAAATCTGTTTAAAAACGTTCTCAAAAACATGATAAAGTATATTTCGACAGTAAGCCCGGGGGTTAGAGCTAGGGTGTATGATAATTAAGACAAATCCGCGTGAAATTTTGATTAAGAACCTACGCCATACGGCTCATAAATATCTCCATCTAAATGGGAGAAATTAATCAGACTTGAGAAATAACAATAAAAGTATGTACAGTGTACAGTTTACACAATGCATTCGAACTGAGCTTACAACTACTATAATCGCCCGTTTCTTTTTCTTTCTTTCAGTACATTTTTTTACAAATTCTTATCTTTGTGTTTTATTTCATTTTTATCCCTCAATTCTATCCCTTTCTTCTATTTAAAGTTCTTTAAAATACAGATTTATTTTTTACCTTTCATTTTTAAACAGATATTTTTCGAATATATTTCTATCTCTTTTGCGGATTCCAATTGTTTGTAACATTTAAGTTGTGTATTGTCGGGTTGGTTAGAATTAATATCTATCCAACCCATGTCATATAAATTTAAACTCCAGGTCTGTTTTATAATGTCATACAGATAGATAGATAAAGAGATAGGAAGGATGGATATATTTCATTTCTTAAAGATTTATTACCCTGGCATCAACATTACCTCACGGACATATTTCTAGACAAAATTCTATTATTTATTATATTATATATGAATATGATAGAATTATCTTTTCTTAAGGTTTTCTGAAAACTTTGAGGTTTTATACAGAGACCATTTAAGGGCGGGATGTAAGATTGAAGAATTTTCTTGGTATTTTAGGAATACTTAAACGCCCCCAGACTTGATGAGCTAGACAATTTATGAAGATTTAGCTCCGGTAGTTTTGCTAGTTTCCCATTCTTTAACAACTCAGATTAGCCATAAACCTAGCTTGAGTCTACAGGGATAAAAAACTATTTTTTGCGATATCCTGGTCCTATTGAAGACTTCAAGGAAGAACTTTTTTACTCCAGGTACTGTAACAGCTTGTCTGAGGATGAGAAAAAGGAGCTGCGCCTGTTCTCCCAGCAGAGGAAGCGGGATGCGCTCGGGCGCGGAACAGTTAAACCGCTGCCGGTCACTCTACAGACTCCAGTTACTTGCGAAGCTGTAAGTTCAAAATATAATTTATTCAATTTTGAGACAATTTCTATTTTTACTCGAGATTTTTCAGCATGCAAGGATGACAAGTTTCTTATTAGGTTCTGTAAAAAAGTTTAAATATTAGATATGACTGATCATATTTAATTGGGAAATTTTGTCAAAATTTTGTCAATTACAAAGTTCATAATTCAGTAAATATATTTTTTTATACAATTTGAGATTATAACAAGCTACCAATATTTTTCTATATAAACATAAAGCAGTTGCATATAAATATTTATTATGTCGTAAAACTAATATTTAATGAGTTTTCCAATTTTAATTGTTGTATAATTTAGTGTGGTGAGAACATGCATGGAGGAGATATCTGTGTCTCCGCTAGCAGAGGAGGACCTAACCGAGCCTGGCATCCAACCTGCTTCTGCTGCCAGGTCTGCCAGGAGCTACTCGTCGACCTCATCTACTTCTACAAGGATAGGAAGCTCTACTGTGGCAGACATCATGCCGAGACAACTAAACCCAGATGCTCAGCATGCGATGAGGTAAATTAATCCTCCAACGCCCCCTGCTATTCTAAATGAAGGCATATACGTCCCTGAATTTCTTTTAATCGTCTTTAGAAAGAGTAAAAATGGTTTAAGGGTTTAGACACGGTTTATGATAAAGGTTGGTAAAGGTTATTCTTGGTTCACGTTCTTATCTTTGAGAGTTGGAGAGAGGAGATAAAATAAAGGAAGCTGGGGAGATTGATCACAAGATGATGATGAACTATTCTAAAGAATTAGATCTTTAATGGGTTCAATAATAATGAAGGTTGATTGAATGTGTGGAAGTGTTGGATATTTAATAGTTTTCACCTTCTTCTCACTTTCCGAATCAGGAACGTGTCCGGTTAAAGAAATGGTTCATGCAAAGGGTTCCGTTCTTGCTCCGCGTTTGATTGTTATAAAATAGCTCTTCTTCCTGGAGCGAGTAATGCATGCAAGAACTATCCATTGTCACCACATCAGGGTTGGATATAGGTATCTCAGGGTACTACTCTAAACCAGGACTCACAGATGTATTGATTGGAGGGAAAGTGAACGAAAGAGCGAACCCATCTTGCTACTCGTGGTTTGGTGGGACCCCTGAGCAGGGATGGTTGACACCGGACCCAACAATCAATCATGCACAATCTTCATCCAACCCTTCCAAGAATTTCAATTGTATCCGGACCTAAACCTGATGGGGCCAATATACTTTCTTTTTCAAAAAGGTTTAAAAATATCCTCTTTCCACCTTAAGAGCTTATAGAGAAGAGAATGATTGAAAAATTACTTGTTTTGATCCCCTGTTTTCAGAAATGAATATCGAAGTGTCCGTGTATATGGAAAAGATGAGATCAGTAAACCGTCTCATTTATCATAGTAATAATAGGCTGAGCAGGTTCCTGTACTCTCTCCTATAGGTTTGGAGAGCTCATGTTTAGGAATATAGATATTTCAACCTACCAACCCCCTCCCCTCAATTCCTGGAGTTTTGACAAGTTCAGCTGAAAATCCCGAGTCCAACGAATTTGATCGTGTTCATAAAAAAGGGATTTAGTGCAAAACACCCTGAAAGACCTTGTTTTCTACGCTGGGTTTTCTAGATTAACAAATACATAAAGTTGAATGAGTTTGCTTCTCTCCGGGTCTGTGTAGACTATAGAGGAGGTTTAAGGTCCGTTAAACTAGATCATATTAGCTCGCTCAGGTTCTTATTTACGAGTTTGACGCTTCAAATCTACCCCTCAACTCTCGTATTCAGATTTTATGAATATTAGATTCATGTTTTGTATAAATTTTATAGTTTAATGCGTCTGACGACTTTAGGGTATGTAGGAGGTAGGGAGATTCCAATGTCCGAACCCAGTTCTATCTTATTTTTTTGAAAAACTATTTTTGCATTGCAAACAAAATATCTGTTTTATTTTTGTGCAAACTTAGTTTTAGCATTATGTTTATTCTCTATAATAGGTTCGGGAGGAGGGGGGATGGGGGGAAGTGCTGGACACTCATTTGTAATAATACCATTTATGTGTCCTTGATAAAGATATAATTGTAAGTTAGGACGGAACTTGATACTTCTAGCTCAGGGTGCTTTAAATAATAGAGATAAATATCAAATCTTGAAGTTCCATTTCACTAGAAAATATTAATCTACCATCTACTAGATAATGTATGAAGAGAGTTTAGCTTGGACCTTGATCGTATCTTGAATCTTGATATTTTGCATGAGATACCGAGACCTCCCTTGAGATATACTTGATATCTCCCCTCCTTCATATTTAACCCATGCATGATTACCTTATATAGATGAATTATTTGACCCTTTCTATTTTTTAGATAATATTCTCGGATGAATGCACTGAGGCGGAGGGTAGAGCCTGGCATATGAAGCACTTTGCTTGCTTCGAATGCGACCGAAACCTGGGCGGACAGCGGTATATTATGCGGGAGGGGAGACCCTACTGTCTAACATGCTTCGACTGTATGTTTGCCGAATATTGCGATGCGTGTGGAGAAACAATTGGGGTCGACCAAGGTTGGTTTAAACATCTCTATACTTGTTTTTACCATTCATAATCTCAGCACCAATATATGCATCTGATTGGGTTGAACACGCACATGCAAAGGTTCACACAAACGACAACCTGAGAAATCAGACATTTTCTCTTTAAACAATTCCATGTTTTTTTTATAATCTCATCGCAGAATGTGGAATGAACAAAACGTTCATTCCACATTCTGCGATGACATTATAAAAAAAACATGGAATTGTTTTGAAAAAACTGACTTAATAATATAATAAGATGAATTATTGTTGATCGGAAAAAAAATTTCACAATTATGATCCAAACCCATCTTGATTTTATGACTTTTAAGCTCCAACTTAAGTTCAGTCTTAGACTTCCAGACTGTCTGATTTTCCATATCGATTTTCTTTAACGATGATACAACCTAACTGAGGTTTAATGAAACATTTTATGATGCAACAAACTGAAATGTTATGAAACAATATAATCTCCTTTAAAGCATGAGCATTAAGTCTCAAGGATGCATAATATACTTTCATCTAATATCAGTTGTAGAAGTATGCATGAGATTACCAAGTATGTTTTTAATGAGTTTATTTATCTAGGCCAAATGAGTCACGAAGGACAGCATTGGCACGCTACAGAACATTGTTTCTCCTGCCACCACTGTAGAACTACTCTGCTAGGACGACCTTTCCTACCCCGGAGAGGATTAATATACTGCTCTATATCCTGCTCTAAGGGAGAAACTGATAAACCTGCAATATATGACAATGTGAAGAAACCTCGACCAGTGAATGAAACAAGTGATTTGTCCCTCTCGGAGCAAAGTAGTTTCTCTACGTCTCCTCCGGTACAGAGAAAACTATCAGTGAAAAGCTCTAACTCAGAGAACAGTAGAAAAGCCTGGATTCAAAGAAACCGAGGTTCTAACAGTGATTCAGTAAGTGATCGATCTATAACTCCGACCAGTGCTAACCTTAGTACCGGAGTACAGGCTAACCCTGCTCCAAACTATCCGTACCTCAAAGTTTCAAACAATGAGACTAAACAAGACTCTGAAATACCTCAAAGAGGACAAAATTTTGCTGTCGGAAAATCTCCGCTGTTTGCGCGGAAAAAAGGTCCACCGGTGCCGGACAAACCCAAAGTTCAACCTTTTATAATCCAACCTTCTAAACAAGGAAAGGAACCAAGTCCGACACCTAGTGATCTTGCAATGAGAGATTGTCTAGCCAGCCCTCTCCCACCCCGAACACCTCCTCTAACGAGACGGGAAAGCTTCGGTAGGTTTGAGAGTAAATTTGAAATGAAATTTGATAATCAATTTGGTAGTTTGGGACGTAAAGAAAGTCTGGGGAGGATCCGACGATATCAGGCTGCAAATTCATCCGCTGTTATCGGTTCAATATCTCCGTCTGATCCCAGTAGGCCCTTTAATGGAAAGGATTTCTCTTCTCAACAAAACTATCATCACTTCTTACCGGAGCAGAAGAGAGAATCTGTACACTCAACTAGTTCCAACCCGTCTGGACAGCAGCAGATGATGTATCAAAATACAACCAACACTTACAGTAATCTACCAGCCCAGACACGTAGTCCTAAAATGGGACGAAGAGCCCTGCAGTCAGCTAGCCGACCTATCTCACGCCATGAAGAGATGGGAACCCTGCCTCAACCCTATCATCAAACCTCAACTCCAAGTGCAGCAGTTTTAAATCATTCTTATCAAGACTCATCATTACAGCCTATTACGTCTCTCCATCAAATCCTTAGTTCCAATAGTCCGTATGAACCTTCCTCTCCTAAACAGCAGTATCCTAGACGCTCTGAGGTTGGACTACAGACAGAACAACACGTCTCCGGATCCAAACAAGAGCACCTGCAACAGCAAATGTCTCATAATGATCGGTTATACCTTGAGCGAAACCTGGAGAGATTAATCGCTGAACGAGGGATTAATGTGATCGGAGAACTTACAAACCAAATGTCTCCAGCGCAGATTGAGATGTTGGTTAGACATATGAAGGAAAAACTAGCGTCTCCGCACTCTAGAGGCAGTAGACAACCTATAGATCTTGCAACTATCGGAGAACTAGGTTTGGATCGGTTTCTCTCCCAGCTGTCTCTACATCAGATGGGTGGAGGAGGAGAGAATATGCCAGAGAATAATCTTAAATCATCAGGCAGCCAGCAGCCCCCCACTCTACCTGTCAAACAATCAAAAAAGCGATCGATTTCTGGCGGACAGATGGGCCTCAGCTCAGTATCCAGTATGCCTGATTTATCTGATTGCCACAAGTCGGACACTAGTTCTGATGATGCCGGAGGTGGAGAAAAATCGTCCCGGCATAAACCAAGAAAAAGCAATCTCAGCGGGCGCCAGAAATCAAAGACTGAATTGAATACAACAAATAATAACTCGAGCAAGAACCTGAATGTTCGGTTTGATCCTGCTCAGGTTCCAGACAGATCTCCAGGACGTCATCACGAGTCCTCTGGGAGAAAGCATAGATCGGGACACAGATCCAGCCATCACCGAAATCGATCCTCTTCTCGGAGTCGTGGAACTCAGGAGGTTTCAAGAACTGGTTCCTTACCCAGAAGCCATTCTTACTCTGGTAAAACCGGACTACAGGATGCTTTCAATGTATCCCGGCGCATGGAGGATGATGAGATGAGTGATTGTTCGACCTGCTCCTCATCCAGCTCGGATTCAGATGATCCCTATGCGTACCAGCTTCCTCCAAGACGTGCGTACGGAGGGGTACGGATATCCTATGTACCCAATGATAGATTCGCAATGTCCCATCGTCATGTGTCGGGGCGTAGCAGTCTCCGGGCCCCCATTGGGACCAATCTTAGATCCAGTCCCAGCCTGGTGATGAATAATGGGCCGGGGGGCAGGCAGAGAGGGGTATCCGTAGACAAGGATAAGGATAAGAACTGTATCATCTCCTGATCAATCTGAGTTCATCATCTCATTATGGCTGTGAATATTCTCTACGCTACAGATTCAGGACGGATGATGATTGAATCCTAGAGAAACCCGTCCTTGCTTATTAATATTCAAACCTGTAATATAAACCTCTGATCAGGATTAGAAGCCAAATTGGGTCCATGATAATGATTTCTGTAAGTTTAGAGGTCTTGAGTAGACCCGCCCTCACATTCATCAAATTTTAAATTATTCTTCCAATGTTGGGGAGTCAAGGCATCCAGATACATCATCCTTCTCATCCACCTCAATCCAACATTCATCTGATCCAATACCTTCCTCTAGCCCCTACCCCCCACTACACATTCAATGCTTCCACCACCTTCCTCCTAACCCCTTCCCCCTCTCTTCAACCTTATTCCAATCTCAGAACATCTATTTTTTCATCTTTTATTTGAAACTATTCTTAATCCTTTTCTTAATCCATTTCTTAATCCTTTTGTCTCCTAACATGTATATCCCCGGGTTTATATTTGTAAGATTAGTTAAAATGTTGAAGTTACCAATTCTACCAATATGTTTCCAAGTAATCTAGTCATGTATTATACAAGGATACTATTCAGTAATAAAATATTATTCTTAACTCGTATTTAAAGAGAGTTAGAGAGAGAAAACTAATTGTTACAGTTATCTTCAATAAACAATTAGTGTTTGACACTTAGATCAAATAACAAATAAATTAGTATCTACGGTGGTAGGCGATTATAGCAATATAATGAAGACGACTATCGATTTCAAATTTGGTTAATATCTAGCTTTTAAAAAAACATTAATACACAAAAACATGAAACAAAGAGAATCTGTCAATTTAAAAGCTTCTCTTTAATTACTTGTAAACTTGTAACTTGAAAAAAGCTTGTTAATAATAAAAACTTAAATAAAAAAGTCGTCTTCATTCTATTGATATTATCGCCTACCACCGTAGATATTTTAGAGTAATGCAAGAGCTATTTCACAAGAGAAAATACGATTTATCAGCTACTAGCTTGGAAACACAGTCAATCCGACTCATTACACTCTCATTATACTCCAATAGGAGTCCTGAGAATCAACACCACATAAACATAAACATTACTAAACTCTTAAAATGTTAAACTATGCTAAGAACATTTCCATGGTTCCTCTTAGTTCCCTAATCAATATTTTAGGCCAAGCGGTCCAAGGGTTCGTGAGTTATGATCGAAATTTCGGAGATCATCGACATTTCTACAACATTGCTTAAAAACAAAGAATTATTTTTATAGAACTTAAATAGATTTAAAACTTCTTAATCTTCACATTATACGAGGTTGCGCGATTTATTTTAAATGAAATACCAACAAAAGAAAAAAAATGGTTAAAATACTTTAAAACATTGGTATTTTGTCACTGACTCCTATTCGGATTAAAGTTTATTTTAACTCTCGAGTCTTGAAACCTGGAAACTGGAGTTTCTAATTGCTGCAAACTACGAATACTTTGCTGTACATTGTTATTCATGCAATTTAGTTAAAAAAAAGATAACCTAAGATCAAAATAAAGATTTCCATTAAAAAAGATTTTGTTCCTCTTTTCGATTTAATGAGGTTTAATGTAAGAAATTAGCCACGAAGGTTAAATTTGTTGTAGAAAAAAGATGATAACTTTTAAATGAACGTAATGAGTCAAAACATATTTATTTTATTATAAAGAGTTTACCCAAAAAAAGGGGTTTTAACAAGTTTTATAATCAAACCTTTAAGCACAGTTAACACTCTAGTATGCGGAGTCCATTAGCGCCTGATCCAACCAGGGTTCAGCCATGTGTTTGTTGTCTATTCTGAACCAATAGAAATTGCATGGCGGTATCATCTATCTTTCTTATCTATCTCATTACCCAATTAGAGATATGAATCCTTCAATCGGCACTCTCAGTAAATGGAAAAATTTACTTCTACTGAAACTATAGTGCATATTAGGTTTTTAGGGCGCTTAGCTTCCATCTTCTATTTCAATTGTGAACATTTTCTCTTTCTATGCATTGTAAAACAAAAACAAACAAAAATTTGCTAATTTTATAAAAAATGTCGTGGCTTTTTTAGAATTTTCAAAAATCTAATTTTGTTAGAGGCAAATTTTTGAAAATTTTATCATCCATAAACCTTCCCTGGGGTTATGTGAGGTCACACACAAAATTTGGGCCCGATCGGTTCAGCCGTTTTGACGTTTAAAATAGGAAGCTGAAATTTAAGCAATACTGAAGTGCATTTGCTTTTTAAGTTACAAAGAAAATAGCTTTACAAATAAGTTACCAAATCACTTTTTAAGTGAAATGGGTCTGTTAACACCATTGTTGTGTCTCATGTGCATAGGAATATTTAAAGTCATAACTTGAGTCTAAAATTCGACTCCCTGTTTCAGAGTTTTCTGGTTCTCCCTGTATGATATAATAAATACAGGGTGAAATTAAATCCTCAAAAGTTTAGAGTGGAAATCTGCAGTATATCTTATCAAATTATCACTTCAGAAATGCAAATAATTGGCTTACATTTTTTGTTATATCTCATTCAATTTTTAATGAATTTTTAAAAAATTTATAAAAAACAATACAGTGAAACCCTTAATAACGAATACATCGGAAGAATTTATCAAATGTCATCTTGACAATTTTTCAATGAGTTTTATACTATATTACGTAAATCTCAGTATTTGCGAAAATAAAAAAATAGCCATGAATATGCTGGAACAGTTTTAAAGAGCTCCATATAATCATTTAATTAAAAAACTAAATATCTGCAACATTCCATTATCAGAAAGTGAAGAATACGACATTTGATGAATTCTTTCGATGCATTCGTTATTAAGGGTTTCACTGTAGAAAAAAGTTTTCCCAACAACTTTTCGTAGATTTTTTTCCAACGTTCTAAGACTATTTTTGATTTTTTTCTCACATTTCATTTTTTCGAAGACAACAAAAATTTGAAAATTTAATCCAAAGCATTGATAATCCCGGTTTTTTACTCACCCATAAAGAAAACCTGCAATAGACTATAGATAAGGGGTTCTTTCATCTTGAGATAATCTAAATGCATAACTTGTAATGCAAAACTCCACTTATTAGAATTAGATTATGAATGATTCATCACTTCCTAATAAACTCTGACCAATTATGGAATGAATACAAAAAGATCGAATTACATGAAACCGATTTCAAAATCCCGAAGGTCCAAAAGAAGGTACACTTAACTTATATGCCCAACGAAGCTAGAATTTTTTCCATTATCCATTTAAGCTTGATTCCTATCCTTTTTCTGATTCTTTATCTTATTTTAATTAATAACTTCTCTCTTTTCTAATCTCTTATATACCATTTATATCGAATCACTATTCTTATTCATCTGTTCAGTTATTCATTTATATCTGATCACTTATCCATTTATATCTGATCACTTATTCATTTATATCTGATCACTTATTCATTTATATCTGATCATTTCTTCATTTATATCTGATCACTTATCCATTTATATCTGATCATTTCTTCATTTATATCTGATCACTTATCTATTTATATCTGATCATTTCTTCAATTATATCTGATCACTTCTCCATTTATATCTGATCACTTATCCATTTATATCTGATCACTTATCTATTTATATCTGATCACTTATCCATTTATATCTGATCATTTCTTCATTTATATCTGATCACTTATCCTTTTATATCTGATCATTTCTTCATTCATATCTGATCACTTCTCCATTTATATCTGATCACTTATTCATTTATATCTTATCACTTATCCATTTATATCTGATCATTTCTTCATTTATATCTGATCACTTATCCATTTATATGTGATCATTTCTTCATTTATATCTGATCACTTATCCATTTATATGTGATCATTTCTTCATTTATATCTGATCACTTCTCCATTTATATCTGATCACTTATCCATTTATATCTGATCATTTCTTCATTTATATCTGATCACTTATTCATTTATATCTTATCACTTATCCATTTTTTCTGATCACTTATCCATTTTTACATTATAATAAGTAATCCGTTTTTACCGATTGATCAATGTGAGAATAATGCAATTTCCGAGATTTTAAAACTTTTTTATAAACAAAATTTATTGACTTTAGTACAGTGGGAACCAGAAAACTGTGGAATAGTAAGACGACATCTAGGCAATACTTCAGTGTATTTTATGGTGTTACAAAGCAAACAGTTTTCTAGTAAATTATCTAATTACATATTATCTAAACTGGGTCTGTTTACACTGCACAACTGCTATATGTCATGTTTAATGGACTATTTATAGCAATAACTTGAGTCTAAAAGTCTTCTTCTTAGTCAAGAGTTTTCTGATTATCGCTGTTTGTCACTCAAATGTCACTTATGGTTACTTTAGTTCCGAAAAGAAGAATTCATTGAAGATTGAAGACGATTTCAAAGTAATATTTACAACATTACCATGTTAATTGGCGCATAATGTAAAAACTCATTTAAAATATTCATTGAAATAAAGTCCAACCCCTCAACCCTAATAAACCTTTTTTAATTAAATTGATAAAAAACATTTTCCAATTAATGATTTCAAATGTCGTCTTATAAAAGTGGTGCTATGTCGTCTTTATAAAAATTTTATCTTTAATTTTAACCTGGTTTAGAATTGGCGCTACTCCCCCATTTCAAATTATTCAATTCTTTTTCATAGAAAAAATGTATATTATTTATACACGGTGAAAACTCTAAAAATGATTTACAATCAAATTATATTTATATAGATTATATATTATATTGGATAAAAAATAAAAATACATAAGAGAGTTTTATTAATAGAATTAATGAGCAATTGCTCTTTAATCTTCATTAAAAATACCAAGCTCAGCTCCCTTCCCTCGTATTCATCTTCATCAGTAATCTGTCTGTTCATCAAGCTCTGCTCCCTTCCCTCCTATTCATCTTCATCAGAAATCTGTCTGTTTACCAAGCTCAGCTCCTTTCCCTCCTATTCATCTTCATCAGTAATCTGTCTGTTCATCAAGCTCTGCTCCCTTCCCTCCTATTCATCTTCATTTGAAATCTGTCTGTTTACCAAGCTCAGCTCCCTTCCCTCCTATTCATCTTCATCAGTAATCTGTCTGTTTACCAAGCTCAACTCCCTTCCCTCCTATTCATCTTCATCAGTATATGTCTGTTTACCAAGTCAGCTCCCTTCCCTCCTATTCATCTTCATGAGTAATCTGTCTGTTTACCAAGCTCAACTCCCTTCCCTCCTATTCATCTTCTTCATCAGTAATCTGTCTGTTTACCAAGCTCAGCTCCCTTCCCTCCTATTCATCTTCATCAGTAAACTGTCTGCTTACCAAGCTCAGCTCCCTTCCCTCCTATTCATCTTCATCAGTATATGTCTGCTTACCAAGCTCAGCTCCCTTCCCTCCTATTCATCTTCATCAGTAATCTGTCTGTTTACCAAGCTCAGCTCCCTTCCCTCCTATTCATCTTCATCAGTAATCTGTCTGTTTACCAAGCTCAGCTCCCTTTCCTCCTATTCATGTTCATCAGAAATCTGTCTGTTCATCAAGCTCAGCTCACTTCCCTCCTATTCATCTTCTTCAGAAATCTGTCTGTTTACCAAGCTCAGCTCCCTTCACCTCTATTCATCTTCATCAGTAATTTGTGTGTTTACCAGAGTCCGAATTTAATGAATTTGAGCTGTGTCTCAAATTCGCCAAAAACCCAAATATTCAGCAAATAAAACCTTAAACATTTGTTTGCTTCTCCACGCAATCATATTTAATTTCTGGGGTAAAATCATTTTTGAAAGGGGGAAAGATTTTTCAAGAAAAGAACTAAATTTTTGCCACAAACTCAAATGTTCTAATCTCTATTTCTTTGAAACCTTACGTTGTAAACCTCAATTCATTCAGAGGGTGAAAGTTTTGCATAGGATAGTGCTTAACTTTAGCGACTGCACAAACTTTTAGGATTTTTAAATTTTAAACAAACTATTTAATAGAATAATTGAGAGGCTTAACTGATTAAATCGGGAAAGGCGCTGAAGGAGCTGAAGTCAATGTTTTAATAGTTTCGCCTTTAAATGAAAGGGATTTAAATGATTGTATTTAAATATTTGGAAAATACCTAACATTTAATTCCAATATCTATTTAAACTCTTCATGTGATTAGAAATATTCTACAATAGATCTTTTATTGAATAAAAGATTTAACAAGATTTTTCATAAATTTTCTCACAATGTTATAATTGATCCAGTGCTAGTATGTACAAGCATACACAGGTTAAATAGATGCATTCACTCCAGACTACTAGTTCTACATCTTGTACATCAGATATATTTAAGAAATTAATTTAAAAACTAAAACCTAAAATTAGTTTTAATCCAAACCCTTAACTACAGGACAAGGAACACGCGGTTCAACGAATTGAACCAAAATAAAAAGGATTAAAAATTACTTAATCAATTAATTAGTTAATTGCAGAAACTTATTGCTTTGAAGCTTATTAAATAATATTATGCGATTGTAGAATTCTACTTGTACAGGTTCTATCCATAGTTGAGCGTTAGAATAGTGAAAAGAGAAATCGAACATCAACAAACTGTTTCAAGAAAATAACTTGTACGGAGAAACGAGTGCATTGCAACATGTCGGAATGTTTTGAGATTCCGCAAAAAAATCCGAAGACCGTGTTTTCTTGCATTTATCAAAATGCACCCTTCTGATTTTGTAGCAGTTCATTTGGAGGTTGGTAATCCATTAGACGATCCCGTTGTTTGCAAGAGAATAGACAACGGGATCAGGATCCCGTTGTTTGCAAGAGAATAGACAACGGGATCAGGATCCCGTTGTTTGCAAGAGAATGTAGACAACAGGATCAAGATCCCGTTGTTTGCAAGAGAATATACAACGGGATCCGGAGGATCAAATTCTATTGTTTCGTGGATAATGGTTTGTCCAAAGAAGATAACTCAAGTTTGATTTATCAACTAACAGATCAGAAAGTTTCTTCGACTCTTCCTACTTCTTCTCATCTTTCTTCTCCTCCTTCTTTTCTTCCTTCTTCTCATCCTTCTTATCATCCTTTTTATCATCCTTCTTGTCGTCCTTTTTGTCCTTCTTGTCTTTGTCTTTCTTCTTATCCTTGTCCTTGTCCTTTTTGTCCTTTTCATCATCTTCCTCTGGTTCAGGGTCCTGAAATATATTTATTAAATTCTTTGAATAATATACTTTGTATAAAGTTAAAAGTTGCAAATTTTAAACATTTCTAAATTCATGAATTTTCATTCAAGCTTAACTTGATATTTTCAAACTAATTAGAAATAGCATGAAAGTTTTCATTAATAAAAGCAGCAAAGGTTTAGACATTAATAACAAATTTCATCCTGAATTATAGGTTAATATCAATGCATTCAATAATTAATTATTGTTTTTAAATCTAAATTCTTCTGTTAGTACGAATACCTATACCTGGAGAACCCTTTAAATATATGTACCTGGAGAACCGTATATATATCTATACCTGGAGAACCGTATATATATATCTATACCTGGAGAACCCTATATATTTATACCTGGAGAACTCTGTGTATATATATCTATACAACTAGAATAACCATATATATATATCTAAACCTGGAAAACCCTGCTAAATATCTATACCTGGAAAACCCTGTATATATATATCTATCCCAGCAGAACTCTGTGTTTATATATGTATACCTAGAGAACTCTGTGTAAATAAATATGTATACCTGGAGAACCCTGTATTATATACAAATATACCTGGAGAACTCTGTTCTATTCCTGGAAAACCCTGTAAATAATCTTTACCTGGAGGACCCTGTATTTATATCTATACCTGAAGAACCCGGTATATATATATCTATTCACGGAAAACCCTGTATACATATCTATACCTGGAGAACCCTGTATATATATCTATACCTGGAGAACCAGGATACCTTGAGAACCCTGTTTATATATATATATATTTATCTATACCTGGAGAACGTGCCACTTGATTATTGGTCTTCTAGGATTCTCTAGAGCTTCTTTCCAGTGTTTGAATCCTGGTTTGTATTCCTTATTCTGACTCCAACCCAGCTTTATCTTTCCAATAGGATCTCCACCACCGATAAGATCGTAATCACAAACCTAAACATTCAGGGTTTTTGGAAACTTCGTCTTCACAGTTGTAAGAACAAAAGTAAGGGATTACATTGCGTGTGTTTAATTTGATAGTAATTTTCTTCCTACTCCGGAGCCTAACTGTTTATTAAGTTTAATTATTTGGTAAACTAGTTTGGTTCTTTGTGATAATTTTGATGGATTCTTGTGCAAAATTTCTAATATATATTTTATATATATTTTTCTTTAAATAAGTATGGAGAAGGTAAAGACTGCAAAGAAAGTTTTAAACAAAGTACTGAACAAATTTTCTTGGAACGTGGTAATTTTAACGCAAATTGGAATGTCGGAACCAGAAAAAGTTACATTTCTTCAAGTATTTTTGGTTTATTAAAGGGACTGTTAGCCTAGTCCCTCAGTGAAACTCCATGCAAAGAATAGATGTCAATGTCTGATACACAACGGTATCTTGACTTTGTTTGATCAAGTATTATTTATGTATCCATGTTTAAAGTTTGAAAAACTGATTATTTTTAATTGTGATTTCTCTACAAAAGTCTCATTTCTGCAGGAGAAAAACATTTAGGAATTATCAGAATTATCCACGTTTTAACTTAAAAAAACGAAAATATCTTCCACATTAGATACAGATACATGTTTCAAATGTATCGCTGAAAAACTGCCATCGCCATCTTTTCATGGAATGTCACTTACTCTTTCAGTTTAAGATGTTTAACCCCATTAATCCATTATAAATCCCTCCGAATAATATTTGAGGAAAAAAAGGGTTAAATAACTCAAACTTTATAGAACTGAGTTTTTGCCACAAACTCTGATTTTCTAATTTTGATATCTTTGCAAACAAATCTAGTAGATCTTTGATATTTCAAACTATGAATTCTGTTAGTTCAAATAATATAAGTTTGAAATATCACAGGTGTACACCATCAGGTTGCATAGATATTGGAAAAAGAAAATTTAAATGTTTGGCAAAAACTATGTTTTCTTTATTCTGAAAAGTAAGTATTATTTGTTACCGTGATATCAAGAGTAACTCTCTTCATATCCATCTCGTCAATGATAAACACGAAGGATTCGTTCCAGTAGGGATTCAAGTTGCAGCTCTTCACGCTGGTCTTCTTTTTCTTTCCAATCCTCTTTTGCTGAACATAAAGCATTTACATTTTAGACTGATGTGACGCGAGATTATTCCCAAGGTATTATTATATCACCGCATATTTGGATAATGAAGAAAAGGAATTTTATCAAAGAGAATATGAAATCAGAAATTCAAAGAAAACAAAGATTTTCCTTTGATTTGTAATAAATTCCAATCTTTACATTAATTCCAATTTTTTTATCTTAATAAAATTCAAAGAATGGGGTTAGTAGAACTGCTTAAACTCAATTTATATTCCACTCTTAACTCTGAGATAAATTGAGATAAATTCTGACAAAATTTAAGTTAATGAACCAAATTTTATCTTGATTGAACAAGAACCTTCTAAAAACTGGACTTTCGTTCCTAAAAAGTATCCTACTGTATTTTATGATAGGTGGAAAAAGAATAGCATTACTACTCGCCCTTATTAAATTCGAAAAGAAATATAAAGGATACCAGGATACCACAATTTTTAGAATTAGTAACAAACAATCTCGTACCGCAAGTCCTTGGTCCGAAACTCTTTCTTTTCCCATAAAAAAAACTCGTGTCTTGTAAGGAATTGAATCTTTGCTACAAACTCAAATTTTCTAATCTCTATATCTTTGTAACCTGATGGGGTAAACATTTGATATTTCAAACTTAGATATTTTGATCTAACAGATTTCATAGTTTGAAAGATATAAGGTCTACCAGATAATTTGGTTGCAAATCACATAGGGGTTAGAAAATCAGAGTTTGTTGCAAAAGTTAATTATTTTCGTGGATTTTATCCATATCTTCTCTGAAATCAAATCTTATACTAGACAGCCCTACGATATTATTATTAACTCTCTTATCTTCTATGTAGAAAAGTTCTTTGCTCATGTATATATATTTATATATATTATATATGTTCGCTATAGCTGGGCAAACTGCTCACCATATCGGGGGGGGTGACCTGTGCTCCAAAATGTTGGAAATGTTTGAAATTTGGCAACGCTAGGCATTTCAGCTAAAATGGTGATTTTAATACCAAGCAGGGGTAAAAGGCGGAAGGAACTATGATTGGCACTCCATCTAATCTCTGATATTACCTTAGAATCGAAAAGTTTAAGTTTAACGTATGGATCCGAAGCTCCGGTGATATCCATCTTCTTTAGCTTCCTCGCCTCAAGAACAGCAACTAGAAAACATAATTTTAACATCACGCGGCATTTATAAATAAATATTTTTCCAAAGGAATTGAGTCTTTGCCACAAACTCTGATTTTCAAATCCCTATACCTTAACAACCAAATGTTGTAGACCTTCGATATTTCAAACTATCAAAGTTTGAAATATCAAAGGTTTACATAATTTGGTTGTAGATATATAGGTATTAGAAAATTGGAATTTGTTGCAAAGACTCAATTCCTTAATTCTAAGAATAAATGCATTGATGTCATCTGATTTGTCTGAAAGTTTTCTATTAAATATATCAAATAAATCCAAATTGAAAATCCACTGAAGTTGAATATTGCTGTAAACAATATTGAGAACTTTGCTTTTAGTGCGTCATTTCTCAAATAGAATTAAATCTTGGTTTAAAGCTAAGAAATATAATTCGAAATTTTACAAGAATATGTTTTATTTTATCAGGAACAGAGAGTCCAGGTTAAATTTTAAAGTGTTTTATAAGTCCTTTATTACTATTATGGATATCTTTTATATATTATATTAAGTTGTAATCTCGGCTTGTTTGTCCGATCACAACTTAGGAATCGGGCCGATTTGCCTCAAATTTTGATTGGGGAACTTGGGAGAGCCACGGGAATGTTCTTAGATTGGTTTTGAGAGTCTAAATTGAGTGGATCGATTATTATCGGGAAAAATCGTAATTGACGGGTAAACGGATGGGACTAAGTATGACTCCCCTGAGCAACACTGGGAACTCAAGCTAGTGTTTTAATAAAAACCGTGCCGGGTTGAGGTTCAGACATAGTTTTTTTACCAGTCAGTTTTCCGGAAGAAGGAACGTATCGGAGAGAAAGACAAAGATCTCCAAGATATTGATTTGAACCATCATCAACCGGAGCCAAATCCTTCCACTCCTGAACTGGTCCTGCCAGATCAACCTACATGGAGAAGTTTAAATCGAATTCATTGTTCCCTTTTCTTTCCCAGGGTTCTGCTAAACCTTAAAAATTTGGAAAACCTCATCTGTAATTTGTAAATCCTTTATAGGGTTTCATAAAACTCTGATTAAGGTCTTTTTGTTAGAGGTCTTTTAAATCTTCAAGGCTTGGTATACATTAAGCAAAAGTCCATAATTCAACCATTTTCATGGTTCTTCTAAATCTACCAAAAGGCGCCTAATGTTTGAAATAAGTTTGAAAAGTTTTCTCGGCAAAATTAGAAAATTTGTAATCTAATGTTTGTCAAAAACTTCAGGAGAAAAGTTTGTTTCCAGGATTACGATTCTCCCAAATAACATTATTATTAATAAAAATAACTTATTAGCTTAGAATTGAAATCATGATTAATAAAATAACTTATTATCTTATAATTTAAATCATGATTAATAAACTAACTTATTAGCTTATAATTTAAATCATGATTAATAAACTAACTTATTAGCTTAGAATTTAAATCATGATTAATAAACTAACTTATTAGCTTAGAATTTAAATCATGATTAATAAACTAACTTATTAGCTTATAATTTAAATTATGATTAATAAACTAACTTATTAGCTTATAATTTAAATTATTATTAATAAACTAACTTATTAGCTAATAATTGAAAACTTTCCGTTCTTATTCCTGTCCCATACACTGGTCTCTTGTATTATATGATAGTTTCCTTGTCTACCTGTCTACATATCTACATGTCTACCTGTCTACCTCTCTACCTGACAACCTGTCTACATATCTACCAGTCTTCCTATCTACCTGACTACCTGTCTACATGTCTACCTATCTACATATCTACCTGCACTACCTATCTACCTGACTACCTGTCTACATATCTTCCTGTCTATCTGTCTACATTTCTAAATATCTACCTATCTACATATATACCTGTATACATATCTACCTGTCTACCTGTATACATATCTACCTGACAACCTGTATACATATCTACCTGTCTACCTGTATACATATATGCCTGTCTACCAAATCTACCTGTCTACCAATATACAATGTCTACCTGTCTACATGTCTACATGTCTACCTGTCTACATGTCTACATGTCTACCTTTAACATGTCTACCCGTCTAAACGTATACCTGCCTACCTAACTTCCTATCTACATAACTAACTGTCTACATTCTCTCTTTCTACCTGTCAATCTGTTTACATGTCTATATATGTACCTGTCTACCTGCCTGCCTGTTTAGCTGTCTACCTATGGTACCTGTGTACCTGTGTTCCTGGCTACCTGTCTACCTCTACCTGTCTATCTGTCTACCTATTTACCTATCTATTTGTCTACTTATCTACCTGCCTACCTGTCTCCCTGCATACCTGTAAATGTAAGGCTAGCTATGTATACCTGGTTGAGTGGGAGCTGGAACTCCCCTGTTTGGTCTGAAGAGGAGAATCTGTCGTAATCGTAGACAGCGAACACAAGGGTCTTGTCGAACGTATCACTGAAATCATAAAAAAAATACTTTAAAACGAAGTTCCTATCATAAGATCTAATAGAACTGATTTTAAGTAACCCAAAATTAAAAAAATGTCAGGTATTTTTAGCTTTCTGTATAAACCCGAAGGCCTATTTCTAGAGACACAGATTGTCAACAAAAAGAAAAAACAGACAAACTGTTTTTTTAAGACTACCGTTGTGAATAGTTTTTGGTATTCTTTAAATGACAGGTTTCTTGGCTATTTCTTTCAACTTAATGCATGAATTGTTGTGATCTATAGGAATTGTTGTGATCTATAGGAATTGTTGTGATCTATAGGAATTGTTGTGATCTATAGGAATTGTTGTGATCTATAGGAATTATTGTGATCTATAGGAATTGCTGTGATTTATAGGAATTGCTGTAATCTATAGGAATTGTTGTGATCTATAGGAATTGCTGTGATTTATAGGAATTGTTGTAATCTATGGGAATTGTTGTGATCTATAGGAATTGTTGTGATCTGTAGGAATTGCTGTGATTTATAGGAATTGTTGTAATCTATAGGAATTGTTGAGATCTATAGGAATTGTTGTGATCTATAGAAATTGTTGTGATCTGTAGGAATTGCTGTGATTTATAGGAATTGTTGTAATCTATAGGAATTGTTGTGATCTATAGGAATTGTTGTGATCTATATGAATTGCTGTGATCTATATGAATTGTTGTAATCTATAGAAATTGTTGTGATCTATAGGAATTGTTGTGATCTATAGGAATTATTGTGATCTATAGGAATTGTTGTGATCTATAGGAAATGTTGTAATCTATCGAAATTGTTGTAATCTATAGGAATTGCTGTAATCTATAGGAATTGTTGTGATCTATAGGAATTGCTGTAATCTATAGGAATTGTTGTGATCTATAGGAATTGCTGTGATCTATAGTGAGTATGTAAATCCAATTAATGTCAGTCCTGAGAGAAAACTTCTTCTTCCCTTAAGGTAAGAATAAAATCCAGGCCATAAATGAAAGTAAACAGAAAAAGAAATAGTTTCGATTAATTAGATGGCTCGGGGGATTTCTTGTACCCGTTTAATCTCAAAGTAGAAAATGCATCCAGCAAAATCACTAAAATTAAATTTATGTGACCAACATATTTCAAATAACAAATGTGGCAATGTACTCTTAATAAGCCTCTAAACTTGGAATTAGAAGTTAAGAGTTGAATAGATAATATATTGGAACCCAAATTGGTTTTAGATTTAAAGAAATTCAATTGAAAAATACTGTAGGAGGGAGGTTTAATTCCACAAATGCTTTGCATTTACACAAGATACAAGATACAGGATATAGAAAAAAAAGATTATAGACAACAGAAAACAGGATACAAAAAAACAGATGACAGAAAACAGGAAACAGGAAACAGAAAACAGGAAACAGAATTATGAATGTAGGATGAAGCTTAAGGTTATAAGATCAAAATGGAAGAATAGATACCGGATAAAGAATACAAGATACAGGATACAGGATACAAATACTTACACATATGGAAGATTCTTAAAGATGAAGGTCTGGTCAAATTTTGGATTTAAGTTCTTTCTGTGAACTTTGGTTTCATACTTCGGTTTTTTATCAGGGAGCAGGTAGACCTAGGGTTAGATCAGTCTTCAAACTTAGATTTTATTTAACTTTTTAATTATACGCAGAAACAAAGGGAAAAAATTACCTTCAATCAAAAATGTTTTAAAGTTCTTAAATTCTATTAAATTTTTAGCTAAATGCCATATATAATGCGGAATTATATTTAAAATGTTGTAAAAAACACGTTTTTAAAAAAAAAAAGTTTGAAGAATAATTTCCTTGACGAATGGATCTGTGAGCCCTGTACTCCAATCAGTCGGAGGCAGGTCACTACATTCAATCACCTTCAAAATAAAAAAATAAGACATTTTTAGAGATATTTTCACTTTTAAAAGTAAAAGTAAACAGTAAAATTCTAAAGTTTTTTAGGGTTTTTTGGACTTTTATCGGGCTATATCTTTTCAGATTTAAGGTGTAACAGATTCATTCCGTTTTCTTTACTGGATTAATTGAACAAAAATGAGACTTGTTTCATTCTGCTTCACATTAAATAAGTTATCTAAAGACTATATGCAAGGTAGAAAACAAATTTTATTTTATATTTTTAGAGTTTTAAGTCTTATTCTTTGTGGGTAACCCTGTATTAAAACGCGGAGAAGTTCTTTCTGATAAAATCCGTACAAACTTAGCTCTAGATACTTTCTTTTTGGAGTTTATAATTTATCTCTTGTACTGTTTGCTAAATCGTTAGTTTCCCAAACTTATCTAACTTTATAATAGTTGCGGAGTGTTGACTCACCGTAACTTTGAGTTCCTGAGTTGTGAAATCATACTCCAGCTTGTAATGGATCTTCCCCTTGAAGTCTTCATTTCCCTTGATCTCCTCGATCTCTTCGGCCTGCTCCTCCTCGTTCCCAACCAGGTCCTGCTCATCGTCGTCCTGAACAATAAAGTCACGGTTAAACCAGTGCTTAGGATCCGGATCCGTTGGATCTGCAAGGTTTTGGCTTCCTGGATCCGAATCCAAACCTAAGGTGCAAAATATCAATCAAAAACTGAAAAAAAACTTTTTTACTCTCAAAACTCAAATTTGAACTGTTTAAAAAAAGAGATAATAAAAATTTCCTGATCTCTGAATGGTTCATAAAGTTTTAGCATAAAAAAACGAAAAAAAAAGATAAAAAAGTGACAATTCAATAAATCTTAAAGAAATGTTCATGACCTGGATCAATTTGTTTCCAGTGCGGATCCAGGATCCGGATCCGAATCAAAATTAAATGGATCCTAAGCACTGGATTAAACAAAGAACTTCAGGATTTGGCTCTTTGAAGAAGATGATGGAGAACATATTTGGCTTTGATATAAACAGTGAGACCAAAATAACTGTAGAATAGTAAGACGACATTTAATTAACCCTATGTGTATTTAATGTTGTTATGAAGCAAATAGTTTTACCAGTAGCTAGAATATAATCTAACTCAGTGAAATAGATCTGTTTTACACTGCACAATTGCTGTTTTCCATGTTCTTTGGACTATTTCAAATTATGAATTTAAAAGGCAAACAGTCTTAATCCTATTCCGCAGTATTATGGGTCTCACCGTAAAATGTAAAGGACTTTCACCCTTTCTTTCTATTTTTATAAGAAATTCTAATTTCTGATATATTAGTGTCATCATTCCCCATTTCCACACTTCTCACCATCTCCCCATCTCCCCATCTCCCATCTCTCCATCTCTCCATCTTCTCCATCTCCACATTTACCCATCTCCCCGTCTCTCCATCTCTGCATCTCCCTATCCCTATCCCCCCATCTCCTCCTCCACCTCTCCCCTCTCACCCATCTACCTACCCCCAACACCTGGATTTAATTAATTATTCTACCTAACAAGATATTGTCTGAATAATAAAAACATGGATCCGAACCTTGTTATCATCTGAACCCTTTGGTCTCTTCTTCCTCAAGAATCTCCAAGCGCACCAGCCTCCTACTAAGAGTAGGACCAGGATCACTGTAGCTATAATCGCGAGTATCATCCTAGAAAAAGTCGTCTTAGTTTTCGAAGAAATGCGCGAAGAAATTTTTCGAAAATTATGGGGCAAGTTGTTAAACGGATTCCAATGTGTAATTATAACGGAGGAAAAGAAACATAATATTTTTAACTTGCTTTTAAAATAATAAAATTTTTGAAAGTGGATTTTGTTTTCAATTGTTCCATGTTTCATCTTTTAAGATATTTTGAAAATATAATTTTGATTGATTTCAACTTGTTTATTGATAATTTTCCTGATTCTATTGATTGCTTTCAATATATTTAGATTATGGCAGAACAATTTATAATATTAACCAGCAGGAACATGCAACATTTCTGACATGATACACTTGACAATTATTCAATAGAAAAGTTTAATAATCTGTGTTAGATGATCACTAACAAATTATTCTTTCTATCTCGATCAGTTTCAATATGTACAACTAAATGCACCGTCATCTACTAATCCCTAATTTGATATTTTATACTTAGATTATTTGATTTTATTTGAAACAGAATGCATAGTTTGAAATATTTAATATCTACGACATTGGGTTGAAAAGATATAGGGAACAAAAATCAGTGTTTGTGGCAAAAACTCAATTTTTTTTTTCAGATAAAAACATTTTTTAAGATATTATAATACAAATTTGTAAATATATAGTAAATTAAACTTTTATTCCTTTGCGCAGATGTTTTAGTTTTATGTCAAATAAACAATCAAAAAAGGTAATTCAGTTTTCTGCTACTAGGCGCCCTATCACCATTATTATCATTATCATGAATAATTCCTTTCTCCGTCATGTGTAAGTGAAATATATGTATTGAGTCAGCATTTATCTTTTTGTGTGACATAATGAGACATTTAGAGCTTTAACAGTATCTTACAGTGATTGATAAAGATTGTATAAAAGAAAAAGGGGGGGGGGACTTTTTTCTTGAAATATAAATAAATCTTTCTGGATTTAAACAAATATTAATATATTTTTTAACAAAAAACTTCTTGGTCTAAAGCTAAGATAAAAAAATTCCCTCGATTTGATGAAAAAATTAAATATTCAACAAATTAGTGTTTTATCTGAAAATCCATTTAAGGATTTGAATTCAATTTGTGATCCAAAGAATCAGATTTATTTTTACAATTTAAAATTTTCTTCTTTTTTTGAAGAAATTTTGATGTTGAAATTGTGAAAATGCAATTTAATGAAAATTGATTGAACCTTTAGAAAAACTTAAAATTCAATTTGAAATGGGAAAAAAGAAAGTTCCAAAAATCTCACCATGGTTTCATGTGAAGTTTCTCCGCGACTGGTTTTAAAAAATCTTCCGCCTTGTGCTCAACCTTCATTATCTTTTTCTTCGTCTTCTCCAGGATACTCTCCTTCGACTCCTTCTTCTCCTCCTTCACCTCCTTCTCTTCCTTCTCCTCCTTTATCTCCTCCTTAACCTCCACCTCGGCCTCTTTCTCGGCATCCCTCCTGTAGCGAGACCTAAACAAATATAAATTGTTTTAACTTTTTACATTTTTACGTTAGATTCGTTGAAGTCATTTCAAAATCTAACGGAAAAGTAATATTTTCCATCTTGAAAATACAGAATTATTTTGATTTTGTTTAGTTTTCATTTTTTTTTAAAATTCTGAGTTGAAGTGATGTATTTTTAAGAAAACTTCTCTCCCCAGGAGAATAAAAACACATAAAAAGAGAATACAGAATAATGTTCCCCTCTTCTATCATTATACAAAGAACAGTGTAAATCACCCTTAGACCCCCCGCCCTCCCCCATTCAGCCCCGGAACTTAATGCTCCCTGCCCGCCTCACTGTGGGCCCGAGGCAACTGGTTACACTGCATCTAAGAATATAAAAATATGCTAATTCTTCTTATTTCCACCAACTACTACTGCAGAAATTCAAGGAAGAAAGAAAAAAGTTCAAATTTGCTTTAACAGATTGTGTTAAATTCAATAGAAATCATGAAAACCAGATAAACCAGGTAAAAACATGATTATTTTGAGTGGTGGTAAGATTCACTTGTTCCCAAAATTGAGTTTTTGTGTATTTTTCATGTATATTTCATTTTACAAAGCAAAATGGTCCAAGTTTCCAAGTCCTGTATTATGTTCCCTTCTAATTTAAAATTAGCAATGATCAATTTTGCAAGGTTACCCACAAAGGAACTCTGTAAATCTCAAGATTTGATTTTGTGTTTTGCCTTAAATTATTTTTTTTTGGTGTATCACATCACCTACAGTGGTAGGCGATTATATCAATAACAACGGAGACGACTTTCGATTTAAATTTCTATTTATATCAAGCTGTTAAACAGCATGGATACACATAAAAATTTGTAAACCTGTAATTCGAAAAAAGCTTGTTAACATTTGAAACTAAAATATAAAAGTCGTCTTTATTGTATTGATATAATCGCCCACCACTGTAGCAAATAAAAACATAATCGGCTTCCAGGACCCATGAATGTAAAAAAATATGTATTTAATCTGTGCAGTCGTCTCTGAAGTTTCTTTCATATTTCACACCACCCTATTCTTCAGTAGAACTCTAATTAAAATTGCACAAAATTGGCAGAAGGTTCTAGAGCAGTTTCCCCTCTTTTGCACTTTTTGGATCCCCCCTTGGCCATCCCCCCCCTCCTATTCCCAATCCCTCTCCATTAATCCTTGCAGTATTGCTCTAGATTAGTTTGTTGCAAGGATAAACTACACAATTTCCCTAGGATTTATGTAGCATTAAACTATTTTAAAATCATTTTCATTTAGAATTCACGAGCAACAGTTTTATAAACACTTTAACGTTTAAATTTAAATTCAAATTTAAATTAAAAAAAAGGACTTCTTTTCTTTTTATAGAGCATCTGAGATAAGTGTGTAATTGTATAAGATAAGTGCATTTCAGAAGATTTACTTCGCAAACATTTTATTGTAAGAAACGAAAGCCTTTAGTTTATTCGTTTTGAATTAATATTTCTGATCCTTTGAGAGCTCCTTGAGTTGATTGAGCTTGAATATTTTAAATTAATCTCAAACCTAAATCAAACCAAACCAATTAGTAATTACCCTACCAAAAAAAGGTTTGACTTACCTAATCCTTGTATCCGAAGCTGCGAAGGAAAGCTGGCAAACGACAAGAAGAAGAACCAATCCTAGAAACAGCCGTCGAACAGTCATCCTAGACATTTAGATATTATAGTAGCTGTTTCCTAGACATATAGATATTATAGAAACTGGTTTCTAATCATAAACATAGATATTTTATTAGCTGTTTGATAGACATATAGATATTATAGTAGTTGTTTCCTAGACATATAGATATTATAGTAGCTGTTTCCTAGACATATAGATATTATAGTAGCTGTTTCCTAGACATATAGATATTATAGTAACTGTTTCCTAGATATTTAGATATTATAATAGCTGTTTCCTAGACATATATATTTTTAAGCTGTTTCTTAGACATATTGATATTATAGTAACTGTTTCCTAGATATTTAGATATTAGTAGCTGTTTCCTAGATATATAGATATTCTAGTAGCTGTTTCCTAAATATGAGGATATTATAGTAGCTGTTTCCTAGATATATGGATATTATAGAAGCTGTTTCCTAGACATATAGATATTATAGTAACTGTTTCCTAGATATATTGATATTATATTAGCTGTTTCCTAGAAAAGGGTCTCCGAATAATATAATGATAAACATTATTGGATTTGGAACTGCGTAAGTTTATTTAAAAATATTATTAATGGTTTTCTGCCTTGAAAGAAAGCCTATAAACATACTACAATTATCAACTAAATAGATTGAATACATCATAATAATACAGTTTCATTGTTGCGCCTTTTTTGTGATAATTTTCTATTTATCGAAAAGTTTGATTTTACCCGTAAGAACAGAATTTAAAATAAATCAATGTAAAAGAGTAAACAAGAAAAAATCAAGAAAGGAATTGAGTCTTTACAACATACTCTGCTTTTCTAATCTCTATATCTTTGCAACCTGATGATGTAAACCTTTAATAATCAAACTTAAATTATTTTATCAGAATCCATAGTTTGAAATATCTGAAGTCTATAGAGATTGGGTTACTAAGATATAGAGATTAGAATAACAGAATTTATGGTAAAGACTCAATTTCTTCAGCAAATAAGTAAGAATTGCTTAAAAGTTTCTGTTGTGCAAAAGATAAGAGTTTAAAATCATCTTGAACAGAATAAATTTACAAATTCTCCTAAACTACCAGAGAGTTTGTACAATTGAGTTCAGGTCAGAATATTTTCACTTTTAATTAAAATGATTATATAATAATATAATTATATAATTATATAATTATATATTACCTGATTTAGAAAAGAAGGATCCCCCTCACCAGAAATTCAACCTGAATTATTTAAACATTTTAAACTTTATTTATTCGTCATTTTTAATTTAACATTTAACTATTAAGCAACTTGAATTCACAAATAAACTTTATACAGATCAATTTCTAGGGGTTTATTAAAGGGACGGCAGACGTAATTTCAATTGACCCGACATTTATAAGGTGACATTTTCAATTAACCTCTAACGAGGGGAGGAAGGCCAACCACAACAATTTCTCGTCCGAGCCACATTCTCCTCATTTTCTTGTCCGAGCCACCTCAAAATCCTCGTCCTTTCAATATTATTTTTTTAAAGTGTCTAATCCTTCCAGATAAAACTATTTTTAAAGAATCGGGCCACGTTAGGGCAAAAATGAAATATCAAATTTTTGTAAATCGAAAAAAAAACTTTCAATTGAATTAAAAATTTCAAGTTTAATGTCTTTAAAAATGTTCACCTTTTTTACGCGCATATTCAGATATTCCTGGTGTAGAATGCCGCAAATAATTCCAAGTTTATAGAACTTCAATCTTTCTTGTTAACTTTAGTGAAAACCATAGAATTTTTCCGGGTGGTTCCATGGGGAAAATTATAGGCAGAGGTATGCCGAATATTTTGCTATTTTTTTCATATCACGAAGGTTAGCCATTACGGAGGCAGAAGATATTTAAGTTTTACCTAAATAAAGTTTGACATCATTCTCATGGTTTTGAAGATTCCAACATGATATAATCATTGCAATACTTGAGGAGAATGTGGCTCGGACGAGAAATTGTTGTGAATGGCCTTCCTCCCCTCCTCTAACCCATATCTAACCCATATTCATTTATGATCAGGGAAAAGTTTCAAGGGTACCTTATTGAATTATAAATGCCACTCTTTAAATGGAGGGTCACTTGAAATTACGTCTTCAGTCTCTTCCTTTAAGATCTCGTTTGGTTTCAAAGTTTTTGCCACAATATATAGACCAGTAATACAACACCTTTCATGCGCAAAATCTTTAAGCAGTATCTAAATTGATGTACAATTTAGTCATATATTTCCGAATAGTGTAAAGACGACATTTAAGCCCCTAAACTTATCAATTAAATCAAGCAGTTTAAATAACGACGAGAACTAGCGGAGTCATTGCTCATTTGAAAAACATTTTAATTATAAAGTTTGTATATAGTCAATAATTATATGCAACTTAATCAATTTGATGATTTGCTTCCGTTTATCAGTGTAAGCAGTGGTATAAAAGTCGTCTTTAGTTTTGAAGGGACAACGATTCTAGCTTGTACACATAGACACTTTTTATTTTTGTTTTTAACGTTCGTTTGAAACTTTTTTATACTTTCCCAAATATTTAAGATAGTTTTTTGTCTATTTGTGTCGTAAATACCAATTGATTTCTTCGCAAACAAAACGAATCCTTCAACAAATTCGGGTGAAGTAATTAAAGGTTTACTTCCTAAACGCAATCTTTATGTTACTACAAAACTCGTAGAAAAAATATGCATGTTAAGATAGCTACACGTTTGAAAAGCTAAAAATATATTTAAATATTGACTAAATATATTCGTTAATCTATTTATGCAACGACGACAACATTATAGTTTTATATTTATCAATTTCATAAAAAAAAAGCTATTTAAACCGTCAGATTAACCTAACTAAGGCCGAATTTAAAGAGTTTATACCGCGTCGCCGATCCGCCAAAAACCGGTTCCAATTGAGTGCCGGTTCAAATTTCGAAACACTTAATAAGTTAATTCAAATTCTTTAAACTCGGCCTGAGAGCAAAGTATATTGAAAAAGATAAACTAGTTTAAAGGCGTATTAATATAAAAAGTGTGAAAACTATTTTAATGAAGTATATCCGAAGTCTAGCTAAAGAAATACCAATTCCTGGTGAATAGGAAGAAATTAATCCTGAAAGATGGAAATGGTCTGATATAGGATAATCATAAGCTTCAGACTAACTGCGCCATTCAGAAATATAAAACATAGAAAGGGTATTAGCTCGGTTCAAAATTGACAAGTTTTTGTAATTTTTAAAATATTTTTTAAAACTTTTTCAATGCAATTCTTTCATCATAGGATTTTATAATTGCCCATTGATAAGACCCTTTGAGCTAAACCTATCATTCAGTTATTCTGTTCTCTCGACTATGGTATTTTAAAAGGACTATCCTTATTAAAAGAGGGAAATGTCCGATTTAAAACCTTAATCGGACCAATACCGTGGAAGATACTGGCTTATACAATATTTAATTCCGATAATTTCTCTATTGTCTGTGAAGCAAAAAATGTGCAAATAACTTTTGCAGAGAAACCACAAACCTCGATATCTAATTCATATTTCATCAGAAAAAGCTTTTAAAGGCACTGTTGTGAATCGGACATGCCACTTTATATATATATAGATGTTCACTCAAAATTACGTTTACAGTCCCTTTTATACCCAGGGTGGAAAAGAATCAAGTAATTTGTACTTTAAGCTTAAACTATATCAAATTTTTCGGTTTGTTTTGATAGATCGAAACCAACATTAACAATGAGATTCTAACATGAGTGAAAGTATTAATTATTAATGTATAAATAAGTAGATATATAGATCTATCATCTAGTCAATTTTCTTTGTAACCTGAGGTTACTGGCTACTGTCCTCACTGCCCACTCTTTGCACTTTTACTTGTATTGATTAGACAGAGTTTAACATATCTAATAGTTTTTATGAATAAAAACATTAATACAATACAGGCTTTTAGCGGCAAACCGGAAATACAATAGTTTTAGATCAAAGAAAAATTCGCAAATAATGTAAATTGTTATTATTGAATTTTACTGATTAGCGACACTTTGACTTCATGTCGTCATTGTATTATACTTTAGAAAGGTTTGACCTTGATAAGAGTAGAAAAGAATACCTCCGATTCAATATTTTTATGTGAATATTTTCAATCCTTTCATTCAACGATTCTTAATCATTCAGAACAAGTCATAGTTTCAACTTTTAAAACCATGATAAACGTACAATACAAAAAGAAATGATTGCCGTCTTTGCTATTCCTTTTAAGATAAAATGGCGCTAAAGATTTACGATATGCAACTATACATACAGGGTGTCCCACGAAACATGACAGTTGGTGAAAAGTTTAAATGCTTCTTCCATAGTTTGTGAAGTTTTTGAACCCCAAGAGAATAATATAAAAATTTTGCATGCCAGCCATATTATAGTAAAATTGATTTCACAGTAAAATGTATTTGAGTAAAAGATTTTTTCAACTAAATAAACTGCAAAAAGTCTATAATATCTAATACAGTATATGGAAGAACCATTCAAAACTATTCACAAACTGTCATGTTTCGTGGGACCCGGACACCCTGTATATCTGATGAATCTGAAAATGTTTTGGGAACATTTTCAACATTACAATTCGGATGCAAATTATAAAAACATTCACTTTATTTATGAAAAAAATCAACAATTTTTTAAATTAATCTGGTAAAATATAACCGTTTAAAATCTAATACATATTTATGAAAAATTGAACGCAGCACGGTTATAATTTTCAATAGATTCAAAAATAATTACATTTTGACATTATAAGAGGGGGCGACAACAAAGTTACAACGTTCAATGCAGTCGATAAGAAACCAGAATACGTTTAATTACAATGGGACCCATACAACTGCGGAAAAAATACATATAGGCAATATTGTTGCAAAGATTTTTTCCACCAGCTTTATAGATCAACTTGTTAAGTAAAACTTGTCCATTTGAGACTACTGTGTGTTTCTTGTTTATTGCACTATTTAAAATATTAACTTTAAAATTTTAAGGTTTTGTATATCTGAAAATCTTAAACAATGCCGGAATTTATAAAAATGTAATTACTAATTACTGATGGTTTGTACAGTGTACACCTTGCATGTACATTTATTTATATTTTTTATTACCCCCCTACGACACAAGGGCAGAGTTTGACATATTGATTAACTGTTTGGTAATGTACTATATTTTATATTTAAAGTTCAATCTTTAGAAAACATCTGAAATTAATATCTAACATATAATTATTTATTACGTTTCTATTTTAACGACTTTAGAGCATGCAAATTCAAGAAAATAATTCTTTAAAAAAACATGCTTTTTAAAATTCCAAAACATGCTTTAATTTTAAAACCCTACCTTCTTCGAACCTTTTCCCCTCCTCATGGGTGTTCCAGGTTTCTAGAGGGGGTCTTGAACCCCCCTTGGATAGTGCAGCGGGCCCTGGACTCCCCAAGGTGGGGGCTCGGGGCCCCAGGTGGATAATTGTGCAGAGGGCAGCATGCAACCTTAAGGTAGGTTCTACCAATAATCATTGTCCTTTTAGATTTTTCAAAAATAAAGAGTTTAGCCATTTTTTATTCAGATTAAACCAAAATGGCGGAACCCTTCATTCAACTAGACGATAATAATAATAATAATAATGATAAAAAAAATCTTTAAAAAGTTTCTGCATAAAATTAGAATGTTAATATGAACGAGTACTAAACATTAAGTCTTGTATTTTCCAAAAAAACAGAATAAATGAATAAAAGAAACACCTAACCCTAACAGAGATAATGAGAACACGTTTTAAACATGGGAATACAATGTCGTCTTTACAAGTTTTTTTTTGTATCTTGACAACATATTCAGACGACATTTTCTAGCTAAAATATTCAGAGTTGATTAAAGACGACTTTGGATTCTCGTTATTGTATTCCCATGTTTTATAGGTAACACTTTAAGATATCTTTATTGTATATGTAACGGGGAGTTTATACAAATGTAAAATATTTATAAAAGATAATTGTTTTATCTTTTATTCAAATTTAGAATTTTAAACTTTAAAAGTTAGCTTGTGTTGAAGTATAATTTTCTTATAAAATCAAATGAGAAACGACAATTTTTGCTTTTAATCTTTTTTGATTCATAAAATTTAAAGAAACATGAGTAAAGTTCCTTACATAAAACATTATTATTTAAACCTATTCCGCCTGAAGTGCTTGCCCTAACGTTTTTGGATATAACTCTAAAAGTGATGATTCAAGCCTATCACCTAGGGAAGTAGATTGCACAAATTTTTCACATCTTGTACAAATTCTTGCACAAATGTGAGGTTTTAAATTTTTGAATATTTCAAAAGAATTGCATTTTTGCACAGCTAGTTTTTTATCAGGTTTTTGAAGTAGAGCCCGAGGGCTTTCCAAAATATGTTAAATGCTATGGATTAATATCACAATAAGGAAATAGAGGGGTTGGACAGTAGGAATAGGGTTAATAAACCTTAAACTATGTTTTAGAAATAAAATACGTTGATAAATAGATATATTATACCTCAGAACCTGAACCTTAGAGAACCTTCAATATTGGACATACCAGCAGATAGAAATATTGATAGATAGATAAATAGATGATGGAAATAGAGAGATAGATAAATAGATATCGATAGTAAAATAGATCTAATGATTTAGTTGACGGTTTCTAAATTTGAACCATAATATTTAGATCCGCAGCATGAATTGCAATTCCCCCCCCCCTCTCCCGGCCAGCTGATTCTGAACTAATAATATTTAATACTAGCTTGGGAACCCAGCTTTGCCTGAATACTAAATTTTTGTTATAAAAGTCTAACTATTCAACTTAGATTTCTAAACCGAGCTAAGAACATTCCCGTGATTCTACCGAGTTCTCCAAAATGTGAAGCAAATCGGTCAAGGGGTTCTTGAGTTACCTACTGGGGAGGGACCAACAAACAAACAGAAAAAAAACAAACAAAGATTACTACTATATATAGATATATTGGTTGCAGAGTAAACAGTTATTTCTCCCCTACTCTACATCTACTCCGACCCCTCTCCCTTCTATCGGAAAAAACAAACAAAGATTACCACTATATATAGATATATTGGTTGCAGAGTAAACAGTTATTTCTCCCCTACTCTACATCTACTCCGACCCCTCTCCCTTCTATCGGAAAAAACAAACAAAGATTACCACTATATATATAGATATATTGGTTGCAGAGTAAACAGTTATTTCTCCCCTACTCTCCATCTACTCCGACCCCTCTCCCTTCTATCGGAGTTATTAAAATATTCTAGAAATACGATATTTGGAAATTAAAACAAAATAAGTTGTTATAATTTTGTTTGTTTTTGACAGAAATTTGCTTATTAACCATTAAATAAGATGATCCTGTAGACAATCAAAGACTGAAGACGACCTCTGCTATCGGTATAAAATTTACCGCAGCCAACTTATATTATATTCTTTTCCTTTGGTCTCTGCGGTAACATTGCCACAATATATGTAAATTGTAAACAATAGAAACAATGACCCCCATCAGCTAAAATCGCCCCCCCTCTCCCCCTCTTTTTTCTTAGCCCCCCCCCCTCTACTTTGGTCAGAAACAATTTTGTTAAGAGGATTTATTCAGCGTTTCTTTACAATAGATTTCCTTTGTCAATCCTGACGTTTCTAGATTCTTCTAATGATCATCTTGTGTCAGCCATATTGGAATTTATGTGGCAGAGTAGCAACCAAATATACAGTGAGAACCAGAAAAACTCTGGAATAAGAAGACGACATTTATAATTTTAAATATTTTGCAATGAACATGATACACCGCAATTATGCAGTTTGTACAAACCAATTCACTTAATATAATTGATTTTTAAACTATAGTAAAACTATTTGATCTGTAACAAATACACTTTAAATATTGCTTTAATGTCGTCTTCTCATTCCACAATTATTTTATTCTCACTTTATATGTTTATATGTTAAGGTTAAAAGTAATGGAAGCTAGAGATGTAGGAATATCAGATATACATAGCAAAGGGTTCTTTTTTATCGGGACATTATTTTAGCTTCATGTTTATTGAATCTGACTGTATCTCCTGTCTACAATATTGTAGACGGTGGAGGGGGGTAATTAACCCCATGTTGGGCAATTACAACTCTTTAATTGAGATGAGAGGAGAAAACCTAATCTAATTATTGTGAGATGAGAGACGGAGGAGGAGAAAATTAAGAAGAATAAAAATTCGTTGTATTCGATTATGGGCTGTACCCTATCCTCCTCCATTTATGAAACAATAATAAAAAATTAAAACTAATCAACAACTTTTTAGATGGTAATAAAATAAAATTACGATAAGAAATGAACGAACAGGATTTTTTCATCATATTTCATGTGTACAATGTACATTGAACAGATGAAATATGTACAATGTACATTGTACAGTTCGTACTGTGTCGAGTATAAAGTGCCATAGTTGATACTATTGTTTCTTTTTCTGTAAAAAATAACTCAAGTTTATTAATGACTTCTTTATATATTAATATCCTATTGATCAGAGATATATAATCTATATCAGTTTTATAAACTTCTCTTCTAAAATCCGTTGCATTATGCATTTTTTAGTGCGTTGCAATAATACAATACACAATATCAGATAGAAGCATATAGCTGCTGCATTTAGATAAGTAAATTTACTAGTAGCTCGACAAAATTTAGCTTGCTTGATTTTGGACCTTTCACGTTTAACTAAAGTTAATTTTACGAAATCAATGTCACAAAGTCGTAGAGTAATGTTCCGTTACGATAACTATCTGCTAAAAAAATGTCATATATTTAAGTCTTTCTTTTTTATTCCGAATGAAGCAAAGAAGAATAAAAATTACGGTCCAAGATTGCATTTCCCGAAGTTTTCTTATCTCTTCAATGTTGGCATTGGACGGAAGAAAATAAATCAAAAGTAAATCATAATAATGTTGGATTTATTCCGAATCTTGTTCTAATCCAATTCTTACTTACAAAATTCATAATTATAAAAATAAAAAATTAGGGCGCTTTGCGCCATTTATTTGTAATTCCAAATCTTTTTGGTACATATTTTTAAAGCAATTTCTTATTTGGCATAGAAGACACTACATAGCTGTCAGGATACCAACGCCTTTAGGTTAGCTGTTATAGAACCCAAACATAAAATTTACCTTTTGACATTAAAATTCAAAAAAAAAATTGTAATCCAAAGTTTTAAATTCTAAAATTTTTAATTATCTTTTGATTGGCATAAAAGTATGAAAGAATAAAGATAAGATTGTGATTTCTTCGATCTTAATTTTCCAGTTGGCTGGTTTCTTTGTTATTCTTCTCTTCAACCTCTCTTTCATATCAACTTAGGGACTAATATATTTAATACACATGACTTCACTCAATAATATATGTTTTCATAGCATTTCCCCAATATATTCATATATATTTTATGCTAATCAGCCAAAATTTTTCTTATATAGAAACACAAAAATGTTATCTTTCTCTGAAAAAAATTTTAATTTTTTGGTTTGAACCCAAAAAACTGAAAATGATTCACGAATACGTTTTTTTTACAAAAATTCAATATTGTAAATAATTCTTTTGCCAACTAAAAAAATAGTTCTAGTACATTTTTTAACAACTTTTAAAATGCCCATTCTGACATTGTACTTTTTTATGTATCCAAAATCTACAAATATCTATATTTATAAAGTAGTAATCTATGTTTGTTTGTTTGTTTGTCCGATCATAACTCGTGAACCCTTTGAGCGATCAAACTTTGATTGGGGAACTCGGGAGAGCCACGGGAATGTTCTTAGCTTTGTTTTAAGATTCTGAGTTGAGTGGGTCGAAAAATAACTGAAATAACAATTTATGACCAAGTGCGGGTAAGCGGCGGGAGTAACAATGAGTACCCTGGGGAAAGCTGGGTTCCCAAGCTAGTAATGTATGAAAACCTGGATATTAGCGTCCATTTGTATTATTATGAGATGTAAATAAATAATGTATTAGAGTGCATACATACACTGAGTACTGAGTACATGATGGTTAGGATATGGAAAATATCTGTTACATGTATATTTGATATTTTGTTTATTTGGATATATTAGGGAAAAACAAGAGTTATTATTCAAGTCTGCTGATTATTATAAAAAGGACTGGGAATAAAAAACGAGGAAATGAGAATTCATAATTTTTCTCTTTATTGATGTCGATTTTGTGAATATTATTTTAGAAAATCATATTTTTCAATTCTGGTTAAGAACAAACCATCGCAAAAAAGTTTTAAATTGGCAATTGTTGTAACAAAAACAATTCTAAAAATGCTCTGGGCACTTGTTTAGATATAGTTCAGTTGCAAATAAAAAAAATCTTAAGTAAAAAAAAGAGACGAGGAGAATTTCCTTGTATTCTGGTTCCCACTGTTTGTTGAAGATAAGATATTATTCTAGTGTTAAATATCTATACTGGAGGTTAGAATGAGGACGGACCCCGGAAACCGGAGCTGAAAACATGTGATACGGGCTGGAGGGATTCAAACCAAACCAAACCTTCACACAAAATGTATTCGTCTTTTTATTAATTTTCAAACAATTATTCAGGCTTTTAAAAAACATAATATTACGTAAAATGTATTAGTAAGCTCAATTCTTTTTTAGATGAGAAAAACTCTTTTTTGTTTTTTTTTTAAATTTAACGTGAAAAGGCAAAAATTGAGTTTTATGATTGTAAAATAAAATTATTAAGGGTTTCAATTTAATAGTTTCATATCACATAAAAAGTAAAAGATGAAAGAGGAAAAGTATCTGAGAAGAATTAGGATATTGCAGACAATCGAAGAAAATTGAAAACAGAAAATGAAGAAAAAAACAACAATTAAGAATAAATAAAGATTTTTCAGCTAAAACTGAAAAGTATGAAACTGGGTGTAGAACTAAGAAACTTAAAAAGATAAAGCTCATTGGCGTAACAGAGGAGAGGGGGGGGGGGTCAGAACTTTACGTCGCCCTATATTTTATAACCCAAATTAGAGCCTATGTAATAGGAATTTTCAATTGAATAATAAAAACATCCCAAAACGCTGAAAACATATTAATATGAAGGAAAATATTAATAAAAAATTCTAAAATAAGGACACTGAAATATCAAAAAGTTTCAGCAGGAATGATAAATGATAAAAAGCAAGAAATATGAATATTACAATAAATCGTTGAAGTATATTAAGTAGATATTTAAAAGTTTAGAATATGGATTCTAGAAAAATTAAAAGAGAGAAACATGACGGAGAACCGTAGAATTTAAAACTTCTCTTCTAGTTTTCCAATAGTTGAAGGTTCATCCCATGACCACTGACCACCCAGATATATATACACTCCTTATATCACCTACTAGACTACATACAGGAGAAATAGGGGAAACTTTCTGATTTTGTTCAGGGTTTAAAATATTTGTATCCTAGGATTAACTGTGATGAAGAGGGAGCTAAATAGAAACATTGAATCTGGACAAAGCTGCGCTTAAAGCGGTGAAACACAGATTAAAGTCGTGACAGCAAATAAAGGTAAAAAAACAGGCAGAAAATAAATAGAAATAATTTAGATAAGGATTACTCACTCATCCTCCTGTTCTGATATTGAGTATGGTTGCAGGGTAGGGTGGTTGTAGTATGGTTGTGTATGAGCAGGCTTCCCGCCTGAACTGCTGGTTTCTGGGCCTGCAACCCCCCCCCCCACACTTCGGTCTCGTGAGTCCACAATCAATAGTACCAGAGTCCAGAGATTCAGGCACCAGAGGCCGGAATATCTGCGGCCTCCGGGACTAAGGCCACTGCCTCCTAGGGTATTATTATAAAGCAAAATAAATGAAAGCTAAAACATTGAGCATGCATGACTGGAACGACGGTGTGACTGGAACGGTGTGATTGGAACCATTTTGCACACCACAAATAAAAATTATTAGTCCAAACTAATTGTTCCTGGAAAATATTAAAAAATGTCCTGTTAGTTTAACTATTTCAAACAATTTTAAGAATTTCTTAGATATTCCTATATGAGGTTTGTTATGAACAGCGCTTTTATATTAAATATTTCTTTAGTGCATTCAGTATTTTCTTTTTAAAGGGACTGTAAGCGTAATTTGAAGTGACTCTCCATGCAAAGATGGCACTGCCCGATTCTCAACAGTACCCTTCAAAGCTTTGTCTGTTCAAGTATGAATTAGATATCATTATTTTTAGCTTAGAAAACTGATTATTTTTAATTGTGGGTTCTCTACAAACGTGACTTGTGCATTTCCACTACAGGAAAATGATATGAACTATAAGCATTCAACAGCTTTAAACTTGTGCTAGTTGCGCCCCTGCAAGTTTGTTCAAGACTCAGGAACAAACAACTTGGTATATCACATCATATGGATAGGAAGAAATATCGTACTTGAGAATAGGAACAAAGCCAACAGGTCAGCTCAGCAAATGCAATATAGGATTTTAGGAACAAGGTAAAAAAAAAGAAAGAACTAGGAACATTATAAGTTCATAAAAAATTAACAATACAAAACACGAATGTTGGGTGAGTTAGGAACAAAACAGAAAATACTAGATTAGGAACGTCAAAAGAGGATTGAGTAACAAAAAAACTATAAAATGGAAACTATAACAGAAATATTTACTATTGAACCAAGAGTCAGCTAGGAACAATAAAAACTAGGAGTTTCATACATGCACTAAGAACGAACAAAGAACAATAAATGAAATCAGAAGTAAATTTAAGGAATAATAAAAAGATTGTTTAGAAATATGGGAACAAAAATAAAGGATTAGGACAGGGATTTAGGGTCTATAAGGGTCGAACGCAGTGTTAGGAATTAATAGTTTTACTTCTTTGCATGAAAATCAGGAACAATTTTACAATTTTGATTGATGAGTATTGATTAAGGAACATTATTACTATACATATACAAGTTAGATAGGAACAATATTATAACATAAGTCTAGTTTCTTACAAATTACTCCACTTCTGACCTACGCCAAATCCTCTATACTACACATCCGGCCTACTAGCAAGTGGTTTTAAAGCTGCTATATGGACTTGTGACTGCAGCGCCCGGCCCCCTAGCCTGTCCTTGCCGCGGCGCTCGGCCCCTTAGCCTGTCCTTGCCACGGCGCTCGGTCCCTTAGCCTGTCCTAGCCGCAGCACTCGGCCCGGAAATTGTCTGAACCTAACCTAACCCTCAAGTAATACAAAAATAAACAGCTGACTTAGGTCCGATATTGCAGCAGGTCAGAAGAAAAGTTCGTCAGAAGTTCAGTAGGGTTGTTGTTGCTTATAGACGATGTAACATATACATACATGTAACATTACCATAACATTTTTCGTCGTACTGATGATTCAATTATTTAATAAATATCTTCTAATACTATAATTCCTTTAAATAATTAAAATACTTGAAAAGGGGATACACAATTTACATACGATTTATCAAATTAGGAACATTTTTTGCCTCGAAATCTCGAAGGGGGGGGGGCTACCCCCCCCAACCTGTCAGGGGGGTGCGAAGGTCATACCGCCCCCCCCCCTTGGAATCGGGCAATGTCATCTTGGAGATTCACTTAAAATTACGGTTAAAGTCGATTTAAGCATGATATACACTGTATCCTATACAATATACATCTAACGATATACCTGCACTTCCGGATTCCTTATTTGACAGACTCCAGAAGGATCAGTTACATTCTCTACAAACTAGTAAAAGATCTGAGGTTAAAACTTTTGAAGAGAATAGTGATTAGATTCAGCGACTAAACTCAATATCCATGACACTAACTTTTAAATTCAGGTTTAAAGGGACTGTAAGCGTAATTGTAAGTTACCTCCGTGCAAAGATTGCAATGCCCGATTTTAAACGCACCGCCCTTGAAACCTTTATCTGATAACAAATGTGAAAGATAACGTAATTTTGCTTGCTTGAAAAGTGTAAATTTTTCAGAGTTTCTCCATTGCTTCTTATAAGCACTTGAAATAACGCTTACAGTCCCTTTAACTCCTTCATATCATGTAAAGTTGTCCATTCCTGGCAGCACTGAGGTAGCCTCCTGGTCGATATTCACCTTTTGACGCTTTAAACCGGGGAAAGTTGTTCATTAATAGGTTTCAATTGTCTAAGGTCAAACTGTCTAGGGGAAGGATCTGTCTCAACCAAAGAGAATAGAATATATATTAGAGTGAAAAGACAATCCCTCGGTATGAATTTTATTAGTCCCTTTCAGCCTAAACGGGAGTTCAAAGTGAAAATCATGTAAATGTCCAGAAATTATATGAAGTAGAGTATATTAATACAGTATGTTCCCTAGACTATCCATTTCAATTTCGAATTTTTTAAAGCTGTTAAATAAACTTTATAAAATGAATTAGGTGAATAAAAAACATCATTTTATTTATAGTTATAACGGAAAATGTTTTTTGACTTAAAAGACTCAAAAGAGTCAAAATTAATGACTAAAGACTAAAAAACTAGATTTTTAACTTTTCACACATTATAGTTTATTAAGACAGATATTTTTCCTGTTTTGCACTAGGGTTTCTTTCCCTTAAGCATGCTATTGAGAAGCTATTCTGAAAATAGGAACAAAAAATTCCAAATTCAGGGGGGGGGAGCTACGCCCCTCCCTGAATTTGTCAGGGGGCTGCATTTCCCCGCCCCCCCCCTGTACAAAGGTTCGCCCTCTGAACTCAGAGATTGGTGGTTTTTAAAACTCCATTAAGATGTAATTCTATGATATTTTAACTCCAGTAAGATGTAATTCTATGATATTTTAACTCCAGTAAGATGTAAATCTATGATATCTTAACTCCAGTAAGATGTAAATCTATGATATTTTAACTCCAGTAAGATGCAAATCTATGATATCTTAACTCCAGTAAGATGTAAATCTATGATATTTTAACTCCAGTAAGATGTAAATCTATGATATTTTAACTCCAGTAAGATGTAAATCTATGATATCTTAACTGCATTAATATTTTTAGTTCGACCCCCACCATCACTTTATATACATACATCTAAACAGTTTGTTTTTAACCTTTGTGACAGAAACAACCTCAAGGAATAATAATAGTCTTAAAACTTTTTTTTAATAGTGAATATTTGCAAATTATCTTTTTTCCAGCTGATAATCTGAGTTCGATTCCCTTATGTCCATTTGACAGTCCTTAAATGTTTATTTGAATAATCTTTTTTGTTTGTTTATTTTCTAGTGATTTGTTTATTTTTTCGATTTTGATGGTTATTTTATCGTTAGAACTGACGAGGGTCAACCCAGACCGAAATATATTTTCAATAAATGTGGAACTTTCATCTACTTTTTTACTATACAGAGGTTTGGTCCATCACCATCACCGAATTTTAAATTGATATTTTAACTGCATTAAATTGTAATGCTTAAATATTTCAACTCCAATAACATGTAATTCTATGATATTTAAACTCTATTAAGATTCAAATCTATTATATTTAAACTCCAATAAGATGTAATTCTATGATATTTAACTCCGTTAAGCTGTAATTCTATAAAATTTAAACTCCAATTGTAAATTCTATGATTTTGTATTTCGGTGATATTTAAACGACAACAAGTTTTTATTCTCTGATCTTCAATTAAATTTAAAAATTTTTAACAATTAATTTTTAATCTTTGACTTTAAAAAAGCAAAAAAGAAACTATCAACATTTTAAAATTTCTGTCACGTTTTCGCATTTTGCGAAAGAAATTGAGTCTTTGCCACAAACTCAAATTGTCTCATCCCTAATCTTTGCAACCTGATTGTTTAAACCTTTGATATTTCAAACATAGAATTCATGGTTTTAAATATCTAAGGCCTACGACCGCGACTTGCAAAGATAGAGTAGAAAATGAGAGTTTGTGACAAACACAGTTCCTTAGTATACCATCTTTATTCCTCTTAAAATTTGCAACCCTTAATATTGAAAACTATATTGTTACCTATCATATTATTCTCTTTCTTTTTTATTTTCCAAAAATGGTTTTCAAAGAAATTAATTTAATAACCATACCCCGGTAAAGGTCGGATGCACAACTTTATAGGTCGGATGAACACATTTTGTAGGTTTAGGCTAATTCTTCGAACAACTGTTTCTCTGGAAGATTATTTGCTGCATCAACAAAGATACAAATCCTCCAATAGACCCCTGAAGTACAGAAGTGACCACAGGAGAAATTTCATCCTGAGAATTCCAATAGAAGAACCCAGGTTCAGGACTCTTTGAAGTATCTTGATCAGCCCATTGAGGAAACTCCAGTGGAGCAGGTTCATTCTCCTCCCGACGAACCGGTGAAGATAGGATAGGAGAGGTTCATTCTCCTCCCGGAGAACCTGTAAAGATAGGGAATTGGAGCAGGTTAATTCCCCTCCCGGAGAACCGGTAAAGATAGGGTTGGAGCATTTCATTCTCCTCCCGGAGAACATGCAAAGATAGTGTTGGAGCAGGTTCATTCTCCTCCCGGAGAACCTGTAAAGATAGGGTTGGAGCAGGTTCATTCTCCTCCCGGAGAACCGGTAAAGATAGGGTTGGAGCATTTCATTCTCTTCCCGGAGAACATGTAAAAATAGAGTTGGAGCAGATTCATTCTCCTCCCGGAGAACCTGTAAAGATAGGGTTGGAGCACGTTCATTCTCCTCCCGGAGAACCGGTAAAGAT